CACACACTCATTCATTCATTCCATTCCAATGATACACACACACGACGCGCAGAAAGACGCGCAACAGTATCGTGTGGCCAGACAGCGCGCCGGAATGGAATTCTCTTTCGCACTTGAACAACCATAACAAAAACCATTATGCCAAAATCTCAGACTACAGAAGCCTGTTAACTCAAAGGCGCAGTGCTTTCTTGCAATTGGGTCGGTTCATGTTCACACCGTAAACGAACCGTACCAGAGTTCGTTTGGAAGCGTACCGACACCACCTCTTCAGCTGGGTCTCGGTTCGGTTGTTTGGTCCGCACCCGAGTTCGATTGCTGTATTCACACCTGCCCAAAAGGTCCGCACCAAGGGGGGAAACGAACTAGAGTTCGATTCAATCGAACCAAACAAGGCAGGTGTGAATACGTGTTCCCAGAATGTGTCTGTAAAGTTTCAGCTCAAAATACCCCACAGATCATTTATTATACCATGTTGTAAATGCCCATTTTTGAGTGGAAGGAAAAACAAGCTGTTTTCGTGCATAAGTTATTTTGAGCTGTATTTTCAGTGTGGACACCTTTCCTTTTTCTATTATCATTATTTTGTTGTCCTCCACCTGAGCCCAAGGGTGTGTGGGATGTGCACACCTTCGTTGTATTTTTGATTCTTCAGATTCAGTGGATTTTGGTCTGTCCCATCTCTCGACCTTCTTAACTATATCTAACAATTTAAATGTCATAATTTTGACATAATCCATATTCCAATATATTATTCCCTAACTGTGACACCTGAGAAGTAACATAATTTTTACCATTTTAAAGCATGACAATAAGACAAGTAAAAAATCTCAATCTACAAACTGTTTCGTACACATTACCCAACATATTGCAAAAAATAAACAAACATGTATTTTAAATAACAAGCTAGCAACAGCTTACTTTGTGGTCACATTTTCTGGCTGTCACGTTTTGGTTTGTTCAAGTCTTGTTCCACCATGTCTGTCATGTGATTCCCTGTTTGTCATGTGATCCTGCCATATGTCTTGTCATTGGTTAATGTCTGTTCATTGTTCACAGGTGTCCCTTGTCTTGTCATTAGTCTGTGTATTTAAGCCCTCATGTTTGCCATGTGTCTTGGTCAATTGTTTCCTGTAACCTCTGTTGTGTAAGTCTATGTCCACGGTTTTGTTTCATGCCTTATTTTATGTTTTGATCTTGTTGTATGTTATTTTTGAATAAATACTGCACTAGGGTTCTCGCTACAACTTGCCTCGATTTGATCCTTATTACACTGGCCTATTACCTGAAAATTCATTAACCCAAATGGCAATGCATTTTGCTAAAAAATTGTTTTAAATTGCATAGATATATAACAAAAATTGCAATGTTCTTATATAGAACTTATATAGAAAATATAATAAGCTCATAAAATAAATAGTTTGACCTGGTCAACAATCAATTTTCTGAAGGACCTAAGCACCTGTAGTCACTGACAATTTGTTGAAAACCTTTTTTTTAAAGAATTGCAGCCCCAAAATGAATACCCTACTCATGGAAAGCGTTTAGAGATTAATTATTAAAGAATAAAAATCGAAGACATTCACTGACACACCAGTCTTCATAGCTTTACCCTGCAGTTGGTTCACCCATCTGCCTATATTCCAGTCCGACAGTTTATTGAGTGGATCTTTTTAATGTCAAACCCTCATCCTCTCAGGGCCTGACTAATCATAAAGAGTGAGGACTTGTCTTTTACCTTCTCTTGAAGCTTTCTGATTCTGTCCTTGACATTCAGACAGCAGACTCTGTCATGAGCCTCACAGAGGAATACTGTGTGGGTGTGAGGTGTGTGAGGCTGAAGAGCTCAAGACTTGAGTTAGTGTGTGTGTTTTTAAATTATTCAATTATATAACCAATAAAAAGCATTTAAAAGAGGTTGTGACTAAACCATTAGCTCCTCAAACTGTCAGTCAAACCTCATAACTCTATCCCGCCTCCATTTAGAATGTACCGCGCGCAAGAAAACTATAAACTTGATATCTTGTACGTTGATAAAAACGTAATGCGATGCACGTACTGCCTCAGATCCGGATGTTCCGGTGACAGACAAAACATGTCATTTGCTGGTCAAAAACCTTGTAGACTTACTCAATTTGAACTTGATTTTCATAAAATGTTAATATTATAATGACACGTGCAAGTGTCTGACCATAGCTATAAAGCCACAATACCAACTTCGACGACAGTGTTTAATTAAATAGGAGGTTTCCGCCCGACAGCTACGATATGTAAATCTGTTGTTTTATCATCATCAACAATGCCATACTATGAACTTATTGTAGTCCTACCTGACTCAAACTCAAGTTTCACATTTAATGCGAGTATATAATATCTAGTTTTTGTATTTTGTATGATTTTGAAGTAATGCATGTTTGTGCAATTTTGTTAGCCTATATTTTTATATAGTGGTGTGCCGTGGGATTTATACTTTTATACTATATACTGATTTTGAATCTAACCCAACAGCAGATTAAAATACTATATATGCCAGACTATGTTTGATCTACATGTCCACAGGCTCAACTAAAGCACATATTACACCTCAATAGATTGTAACAGTCGGGTTCCGGAAGTAAAAACATTCATTTTCTCCATGAGGAAATTGATTTTGAACGATAACTTATAAACCTTTAAAGACAGACTTACTGTGAGCTAAGAGGTTTTTAATTGATGGTATTTGATTTTGTTGAAGCCGTCAGTCCGCATTATTTCATTTTAAAATAATTATGTTTAACAGCGGAATTCCTGGTGAAAAACAACATTACCCATGATGCTTTACAGAAAATTCCACCAATCAAATAGTACAAAAAAGCAAAATGTCTCATTAGCTCCGCCCACTCCTATGAAGCACTGCAAATGGCATAGGCCTAATTGAGTCAGTCTCCCTACGCCGTATATCAATATTAGTTTTATATTTCTCCATCATTATTAATTTGATTATGCTGTTTGCGATACTTCATGGGTAGCTGGTTGGCTTGGTTAATTAAAACGTGTTAACGAAGACTTTTTTTTAAATCCCTTTTGAAAGCACTAATGCACACTAGAGACCTGCAACACTAAGCTGCAAAAGAGAGTGCTAATTCAAAAAGTATGCATCACAAACATATTTACAATGTATGATAAAAAACGACAAGGATCCCGTCATCTTAAACGTACCGTGCGTAGGCTACAGCCAAACCAGATTGCTGTCCTTAAGTGGTTGTTTTAAAATGTTACGGCTCTCTGTGGCCTCCACAAACAGCAAACATCCATTAGTATAATGCTAAAAAATGCATGAGTTGTCCCACAAGTATTATTTCCACAGAATTAAGGAGGCCATTATATAGGCAATTTCTATGGCAGCGAATGTAAAAATAACCGTCCGTAAAGGACAGGGTGAAATACAGGCGGAATTGTTACGAGACAAAATTATTCGATGATGGCCAAATGTTGGGCACTGGGCAGCCAATCAAATCGATCCCCTTGGGAGGGAAAAGAAGAGCTCTTACATTCATATTTCACTCACTGGGTGAATAGTTGATACAGATTAAAGATTAAACTTAAAATGATTTTTAAATTGTTAAAAGAGACATACATTCAGTAGATGTGCCATGTAAAAAGTGAATATTCTGGGTTAAGCTCAATCGACCGCAATGAAAGTGAATGGTGCCAATGCGTTACTCTTTCAACAGTACAGCCACTAGACGTAAAGAAAAATGTGTTAACATTAATTTAAAATGCTCAAATAATAAATTATAAAATGACCAGCTCAAATAATACACGGTTTAACATAAGAATAAAGTGGTTCTATACATTTTTAAGTTAACATTTTTTTTGAAAGACTTTCAGGATGATCTGTGACACTGCAAATGTAAACTGACTGGCCAAATAATTGTTGTGATATCAACCACTCCTGTCCTGTGTTTATTATTGTCATTTGGAAAACCGAGTAGAACGCATGCTAGAAAGTCTTGTCCTCTGAGCACATCCATTTCTTAACTAGAAGCTGGTAGGGGCATGTCACCATACTATTTATAGCCTGCCGAGAAATAATTCAAAGGAATCAGAGTGAAGATCTCTTAAATCTTCCCTTTCAGAGTCCTACACAGAATGAAAAAGGAGAACGTCTCTTTCTCCCCCAAAAGCCATCTGTATGAGACAGTGCAGCACACCTCTGAAAAGGTGTGAGTTATATCCTGAACATCACAGTGATGGATGTGGCATCTGCTGGGGAGACAGAACAGCACACATGGCACTGGTTTCTAACTGTGACGGGCAATAAAAAATTGAAGCTCTATTTCCAAAATAACTTCCAGTGAATTAAAATGCATGTTGGAATAAGAACTAAATGCCCTTAAAGGGACAGTTCACCCAAAAAATGAAAACTCCATCATACTATATGACTTTTTTTCTATTGTGGATCACATACAGTAGAGATGTAAAGGAGAATGACAGCCTCAGTCACCATTAACTTTCATTTCATGAGATCAAAAATGAAAATATGATGACTGGCCCCTTTTTTGCATTCTTTGCATAATTAAGTCATATTTAATTTACTCCCCTTTGAAACCATATTTAGACAAACTATCAATAAGGTCAATAAATAAAAATCATTTAATTTGATTTGCTGACAATTAATCTTTCAAAGTTCAGCTCTGAAAACCGACGTGTTCAACTCATTAAAGTGACATTCATCATTTCCACTTGAAAAATATAACGTATAGAATGGGGCAACATTAACGTTACTGTCCTACAGTTATTAAACACGACAGGTAATTTCCACCCAAACTGACGATACTGACTGCGTTTCCACTTCTTTACAAAAAAAATCTGTCTCCTCACTTCTCCTCCGAGGTCCAGACTCGGACACATGCACTTTATTACCTCTCTGAAGCTCGAATGTCTAGCCTGGGGACCTAATTCTACTATTTCCTCTAGGACTAAACACGAAAAAAACCGTTAGCACATGCAACACTTACCTCAACAATCTTCATATGTCTCAAATGTGCCGCTGTAGGCGCTCCGTTTGTGCTGGCTGAATTCAACGGTTTAAATTTCAGTGCAGAGTTAGTAACTGAACCATGGCACGTAAATGAAACGTAGCCCGCGATGAAATGCCTATCTGCTGTCGGAGTGTAACTTTAAAGCGATTGGCAGCGGTGTTTGGTGAGATGTGAACGGTCGCGACTCGCGCTGCGCTCGTGTGTGTGTGTGTGTTGGGCGTGCGTGCGCATCCTGTGCTTCTATTCTCGCGCGCTCTCTAGGGACACCGATGCTGCTGCTGATATTGCCAAGCAACAGCTTCTGTAATAACCCATCAAAGTCTGACGAAGCTCAAGTTTGGTATGCTTTATAACAGACGCTCACGGTTGAACTGTCATTCATAGTTAGAATGGATGACGGAGAGATCTCTATAATATAGTGAGGTCATCATATGCCTTATTTGGGCTTAAGTTACAAACATTATAGCGGGGCATAGCTTCGCTACTATGCAGCATGTTTTCATGTTCCCATTATGTATGTTTTAATATACTGGAATAATTTTTATAAATTCACAGTTTTTAAAGATAGAAACCATATTAGTTAGTTTTCCCCCCATTTATTTATTTATTTATACAATTAGGAGAATGCTATACCTTCTAAAATGAAAAATGCCAGGTGTTTCTTTATTTTCTCTAATCAAAATGTTTCAAAATAAATTTTCTTTAGAATATTGTTTTAATTGCTAATCCGTTTATAACTGTGTCCTTAATATCACTTTCCATCTTGTTAATTTTCTTGCCATTGTGTAAGATAATATAATCAATCATTAACCAGTTATATAATTACATTGACGGTTAATTAATATATTTATAAATGAATAATATCATTCAAAAGCCTGCACTTAGTATATTATTGTTATACATTAAATTTATAATTTTTATATTTTATGTTTAGTTCAATACAGTAGGCCTATATAAAGTATGACCCATATTGTAACGTTAAGGCAGGGACGAAGCGGAGAGAGAATCCAGATGCGAGCACTACTTTAATAACATTACAAGCACAGGGAATCCAGGGCAAACAAAGAAACAAACAACGACTGACAAACCACAAGAGAAACACAAGGGCAATTTACACACAGACTAACAAGGTAACAATGGGGTGTGGTTGATTGTCATGCGGGAACACACAAGGGTAGGCTATAACCAAGGAAACTAACAAGTCACACCTGGGGAGACTAAAACATGAAAAACTACAAAGAACTACAAAAAAAGTTCCATGAAATAATATGAATGTACAGATATGTGAAGCCTTATACCGGTATAATTTTTGTAGATTATAAATATAAATTATTATAATGTATTATTACCTTTAAGTTTTCAACCCTCTTCTTAAAATGAAAAAAAAAAAACACACGTTGCGATTAAAATAAAAATTTTGGACATGTCATGGCACTATGGGTTTCTTTAAAGTACCGAGTACCATGTAAATACTACGGTATTGCCATCTGATGGCATCACCGTACCATCCTACTATAACATTCCTCAGTCACCAGACCACCACAGCACACTACATTTCCCATAATCCCTCCTGGCTCACACCTGCACACACTCATAATCATCACACCTGTTCATATTCATTTCATCATCTCTGTGTATTTTGTTCCTCTGTTTTCAGTCTTTAGTTGTCGGTTGTTGTTTGTGTATGCTATGTTATGAACACTGTTATGCCCCTTTTTGTTTTATTAAATCAAATTTATATTTGTATCCAGTCTTTGTCCTCATCCTGTGACACCTCAGCGCTTCTCGTAAGGGTTGTTCTAATAAAGTTTTAATGAAAGTGAAATCTAAAATATTGTTTTCTTATGCAGGGGTTATCGTAAACTGAAACCATAAATCGTTACCAAAAAAACATATTGTATAACAACTATAGTTGCCTGCAACATTTTATATAAAAATAAAATCCAATTTAAAAATTAAAAACTAGGCCATAATATGATAAATAACACTGTTCTTATCCAAATTGCACTATTCTACACTTGTTTTTTGGGTGACGCTGGACAAGAGTCTATAAATAAACATACAGTCCATAAATAAATTAGGGACTCTGGGGACTGAAAGAGATTAAAGGAACATTGTGAACTGACAATGATATCATTGTGCAGCGCTGCCATATTTTACAAAGGTGTGAAAATATGCATGGGGGGGGGGTCTGGGTTGCATGAACATTTCATTTAAGTATAACACAATGCTGATTGACCTTTCCCTTGTCGATCAAATTTTATTTATGACATTATTTCGTCTATTGACTTCAGCAACTCCAAAACAATAGTCTTCCACCGCCAAATGGATTAAATGATGTACCGAAGGCGGTTGTGCTACTTTATCCTGAAGGCACATATTGATTACTTTATAAATTACTGTCAGTTTACATCATTTCATTTCTTCGCTGTCCCCATAAGATACTGCCTACTTTTCCATACAGCAATACATTTCACCTCGCTGCCCACAAGATAACCAATTGTTTTTTATTCACTGCAGAAATAGACAAAAGAATATTGATCTGATGATTCAAGTCTCCTTGTTGCTCTATCCCCACAGCCCTGAAATGTCTTCGCCAGTCCAAAATGAAAGGCAATATGGGACATTCTGTTCAAGGTCCTTTACTTACGCATAACCATTGACATCCAAGATGGTTTGGCCATCTACAGTATTTGTTTTATTTATTTGGAGTTACTGAAACTCCTTAAAACAAGTAAACTTTACTTCACAAAAGTTTTGCGAGTCAATGCAAAGTTTCTCATGGGAATTTAAAGGGGCCACGACATAAAAAAAATGAATTTCCCTTGATTTTTTGACATATAAGAGGTCTTTGCACCATTAAAACATCCCGCAAGTTTTGTAGCTTAACCCTCTGGGGACTAAGCCCTTTTTGGTCCGTTTTCTCTATTTTTACATTTGGGCTTATAATATAAACCATATGTAATGGAGATGGAACACTATGTGTTTGGTATCTATGGATTCAGAAGACCCTAAGCTAACATAAGCATGCATGTAATGTGTTTATAAAGGAAGTATGAGTGAAAAATGTACAATAAACTAGAGAATTTCAAAAACGGAAATTAGATTTTTGTCATTTATTTCTGAAAATCACACATCACACAACAATAGTGAACAGTTTTTGAACAAAAAATATATTTGTCAAAGCCTTTGCTTGACAGACATGTGTAATTGTTAAATAAAATGTGTAAAGAACAATGAAAAATGTAACTTTATTTACAAATACTCCCAGGCGTTTTTCTTAGCTTAGAATTTTCTAAGCAATGCTTTCTCCTCGTCACTCTCCAGTAATTGTTCCAGAGCTTGTTCCACCGTAAATCGTTTACTGCTTGCCATCATAAAAGTGCTAAAACAATAAATAATGTTATAATTGTATGTGTAGCGCCCCCTACCTGTCTTTCTTGTAACTAAGTAGGACAGCGCTCCAGATTCAATAACTAAATGCCTACAGATGGTGAAGTTAGGCCCCTCTGGTGTCACTAAATGAATTAATTCTCTTTTAGAAAATTAGAATAATAATCTATACTTTCCTTTTACGAGTTACTCAGAATTAAATCTCTCACCCCCTGACTAATGACATCAACCAACACTTTTAAAGGAATAACACACGAGTAAAAGTACAGAACAAATAAAAGATTTAATTGGAATAAAGTAACTGAAGGATAACTAGCTAAGCACATTAATTTCAGAATGTGAAATATTCACAAAATCACATTGCCATAAAATCTGACACAATTTAAACACTGAAACTTTAAAGGCAATCTATATCAGTTGCCAGACCTACTGGAATTAGTCTCCAGGTCAAATATACTTGGTATAGGTAGCACCAATGACCTCAAACGGGAGAAATGTACACAATAACCCACTCATATTATACAAACGATACTCTGAATATACACATATTATTTTCAGTGCACTGAATAATATTTAATGCGGTGGGCCCACACATACACACCAGTCATTCACACAACCCACCCCGTTGCAGGCCTGAATCGTGGCTCGTGTTCGTGGTGGCCGGGAAACTGAAAAATGGCCCCTTCACTCTCCTGAGCACAAAATCAATCAAACAAAGATACCTCAATTCCACGTGCAATGATACTGCAACTCCGGAATCCTGCAGCAGGCCTCACGCAGCTCCTCGTCCTCTCTCTCCCTCGTCAGCCGACGAAATGCACCTCCCACGCCGCCAGAGGAACCCCAAATAACGCGGGTATTTGGGGCGCTATCTGGTCCTCAAGGTCTCCCTCGTTGTGAAGGACGACAACCAGGTTAAACAGTCTTTAGTCAGTTGTATAACTGTCGCTGTAAACTATCAGTTCAGATGCGCTGATATGCGCAGTGATAACTAACCGAAAAACACTCGGATTCGCTCCCACACAGCAGGTTAGCCACACGAAACAAAAACTATAAAAACACTGGCTACAAACTCAAAGACGCGCACACAAGCGATTCATCTTGGATCTACATTACAGTTAAAGGTTGTTTAAACTTATAAATCGTCAATCAAATCACTCTGTACCCGCAAACGCGTCTCTCTCAATCTCCGTCTCTCTCTCTCTCTCTCTCGCGCTTGTCAACAAAAACTCTCATGTCCCGAACAACCACTCACATTACACAAAACACCAGTGAGGGCGGGACTTAATTCACATACACCAATAAAATAATCAAGCACCTAACTTGATGGTTAAAGCCACGTTTTCCACATGTACACCTCTATCAAACTTGTATCTCATGCACGCGCGCTCTTAAAGGAACAAATACCGTATACTCACAAACAAAGATGAACGGTTAATTCACCTTTTATCTCTGAATTAAACAAATACAAGCTAATAAATTGAGGTAACTTATTAACAGCATACTTATAACCTACTGGGTTACATGCTCCCCCTTCTAAACATCTCATGACCCCATGAGATTACTTCTCAACACCTTAATGGTGACTTTAGGCTCAGTAGAAGGGTTTACCTGAGTACAACGAACACATTGTGCCATAGGGTGACACCACATGGTGTTACAGGGTTTCCTTTCTGAACCTTCCCCACCCTCTACATTTATGACCATCCCTCTATGAATCAGAGTTAAGGGTCTGTTAGTGGGCTGTCCCAGAGAATCATAGCTCAACTTGACTACGGGTCTTATCTCCCTTTTTGGGCGGGAATGAACAGTCTCTACTACCTCTTTAGTAGCATTAACTC